TTTTTTTTTGAGGACCCGTGGGAACTCCACAATTTATGGCACCTGAAGTTGCTGCCAATAAAGAGTATGGTACAAAATCAGATATGTGGAGTATCGGTGTACTGCTTTATGTGTTGTTATGTGGAAAATTACCATTTGTTGGATCTAAAGAAAATATCTATAAAAATATTTCCGAAGGCCGTTTTATGGTAAGCGACAAAAATTAATAATCAAATTTTTTTTTCGCATAAATTTTGACAACTTTTTAACTGTCATCAGAACGGTATAAATTAAGTAAATGATGATAACAAAGAGTAAAGCACAATAAGTCTGTCAACAATCGCCTTCTTTTGAAAAACTGAAACTGTTTATGATAAATGAAAGTTTTATAGATTACTTCACTTTTTTACTGATTTACTAAAAGTTAAAGGTTAGTAAGGAAGGCGTTGAGATATAAACAAGTGAAGCTGTTAGTTGGAACATTTGAGGCTACCTAAAACTCAACGACTACCGCTTCTTTAGCTGCTCAGAATGGCCTTTTAAGCTTTAACAAACAATACTGACAATTTCTTGTTGTCGTCATAAAACACTTTTAATAAAAAGAAAACTTTTTTTGAATAAGAATTTGAAGAAACGCTTAAGCAGCTGGTAAGCTGAGAATTTGAAAAAGTGTTCAGCTAAACAGTTTTGAATGGCAGTATCGCAAAAAAACTTGGAAAAAACAGAATATTTTTGACTTATTATATAGAATGGCCAGACAGATTTGAGAATATAACTTGAAACAAATGAATAATGATACAACATTTATTATTCAGTTTATTTAAAGTAAGATTGGTTACGCTCAAGATTATCAGCAATACTTCAGCAAAAAAATACAAAGTAAGCAAAGTCAAAGTAATAAAAAAGAACTTTTTTTCATTTTCGTTACTAGTTTTTTTGTTCTGTTAACTGTTATTTTGAAGCACTAAAATTAAAATTGAGTTATATAACGAAATAATAGATTGAATTGTTTTCGCAATAAGCTGGTGACCTTCAATTGATTGTTGATGCTCTGAAGCAGCAGAAAAGAAGAATTGAACACTTTTGTTATGTTCACTTAAATACTGAAGTTTTTCAGCATCAGGGAGGTGCTTGGGAATATATTAGCAGTTCAGCTGCAGATTTGGTTGGCCGTCTGTTGACGGTGGATCCAGAAAAACGAATATCTGCAGCTGAAGCACTGAATCATGAATGGATCTGCGATAGAGAATATAAAGCGCCCAAAACTCATCTGCATGAAACTGTTGAGCAAATTCGACGATATAACTTAAGACGAAAGTTGAAAGCAAGTTACAGATTTGTTCTTTTTTCTTACCTGTTTAAATTTCTGTGATTTAGTAATATTTTTTTAAAAACAGTATCAGCTTTTCTTGTTTTTAGTTAAATTCATCCTCTTGCAAGCATTCTAAACAGTAATGGCGTTTAAAAACTAGAAAGCATTAAAAGCTAGTACATTCACATGTATAGTCCTTGAAACTTTCCAGTATCAAACATTTCAATTTATCACCTTCAAACATGCTGAAATTTTAAAAACAGGAAAAAAAGTTCAAAAATGCTTTACAGTTTGAAACTTAGAGCTATTATAGCTACTGGGTAAAAAATAAAAAATTTTGATTTTATTAGTAGAAAATGAAATAAAATCTGAACATATTTTTTATCTTTTCTTTTTTTTGTTTTTAAGAGCAAAGTTGTGGCTGTAGTTAACAGCGAGAAATGGAACACCTGTCCAGATGATGTTTTCAACGTTTCAACTCGTTGTATGACCGGAGATGCCTTTCCAGGCGGCGATACATGTGATGCTGATGGATGTACGAAAAAAGGTCCAGAAAAAGATATGCCTCCCGAATTCTCTGGTGTCGAAAAGGTCAACATTCCTGCTTTAGTGATTCGTTTTTTGCTATTTGTCTATCATCCCGCTCAGTAAAAGTGAAATTTGAGATCATTGCACCCACAGACCGGCGGATTTTTGAGCTTTTGAGAAGAAGGAAAATGTAAAAAAAGAGGACGGAAGAAACCTAATAAAGAAACAAAAAAATTTTTTGTTTGTATTTAAGACTTGAAAAAAAGAAAAAAAATGTCTTTAGAAATTTTCTATCAGTTTCCGTTAAACTATACTTCTTTTCTTCTTCTCATTTGTTGTTTTAAAATTCTAAGTATATTTTTGTCTTTAGGATATGCAATTACCGGTATAGCAGCTGATTTTAGATGACTTCTGGGTGTCCGTACATTTAGACACAGAGTAAGCCGATTTTATCGGGCACCAATTTCTCAGTGATCTTATCGTTTTATCTCTTACAGATTCTTTCGTCGTTGGATCAAATCGCTGCACTGCAGGATATGCCATCGGTTTCAGAAGTTAACGATGGGACAGCAACTACGGACGGGTTATCGTCGGATCAGGAATTTAAGAATTTACTTGATGTAAGTCAGGTTGAGCCTACTGCTGTTACTACTAAATACTGTGGTCTCAGTAGTTGTTAGTTGCCTGCTTTATCTTATTTTATTTTTGTTTATTTATTTTTTTGACTTTGTCAATCATGTTTTTTTTTTTTTTTTACGACGTTGTTGCTGACACTAAAGGATGCCTACTGTTTATCGGTTATGCCAAATAGATATGTGCAATAAACAGTTAGTAGAAAAAAAATTTTTCTTTACTAAGCTGGCAGTTTAAAACCACAAATGCAGTTTGTTTTGTTTTCGTTAAATGACGACATATTGGTGTCGATTTCACGAAAAATTGGTTCAAAATTTCTAAGAAGATGAAAAAGAAGAGGGAGGAAGAAGAAAAAATATTAATTTCTCATTGTTTTACTTTGTTTTTTTAATACACTTCTAAATTTTCAATTTTTATTTTTTTCTATCACTATCAATGTTTTTCTTTTGGTTTTCTTTTATATCTATTGCTCCAAAAAAAGTTTAGTAACGCTTATATTTGTAATATATTTCTTTTTGGTTTCTGGTAATGCGTTCTGTTTTATTCGGTTTTTTCTGTGTTTTAAAAAAAACTGATTTGAATTAGTTATAAAAGTTTTCGGAATTGTGAACTCTGTTTTGTTCACTTCTAAATATTTCGATGATTTTTTTTCAATTGGTCAGCTGAGATGAGATGGTAGTACAAAAAAAATTGTATTATTTGACAACTGAATGAGTAAAACAGTGCAGAAGAATATGTAAAATTAGTTGTTATTAAACAGTTATTTTATCAGCTCTTTAAAATTGTCATCAAATCTATAAGCTAACCTATTTTCACTGATCACGGAAAAATTACCTGAAACTGTAATGCTGTTTTGGACTTTAGATGGTTAATATAACAGGCAGTTATTGGGTAAAGTTGATTGCATGTGCTTTACGATTCTTGCCTAGCAACAAGAAGTTTTTTCTTTTTCTTGGCCAAAAAATTGAGTTTCGTTTATGGGAATGTTTTTAGAGAAAAAAGGAGGTGAAGGAAAAAGGAAGGGATTGAAGCTGCAAAAAAAGTTGACTAAACCAAAATGGCGTAAATTGGATTGTCTTATTGATTGTGTTTTTTCAAAAAAAAAAAAAGATTTGTTGCAAAATATTCGTTCCGCTCAAAAATTTCACATTGGAAATAGTAATGTACGGAAAAAAATTTTTTATGATCATTTTTGAAAACATTGCAATTCGTTGCAATTTTTTTTTTTTTGGTTTCTCTTTGTTATCTTTCCTGAGTTTTTTTTTTTTTT